CTGTGATCCTTTGAAAGGGAGTTATTGATTGCGAGACGGGGTTAAAGCAGGCAATTATGGAAGCTGAAACCAGGACTCCGACTCCCGTGGAACCTCTCAAGGCATTATCAATTCACAACGATAGGAAATAATAATCTGTACACTTGATGCAAAGCGCCTTTCACGGCAGGAGGGCACCTCAAAGTGCTTCACAGGATTTACTGTAAACCGTAGTGATCCCGCATTTTGTAGCCGAACGGGCCAGCCGATTTGCGCACTGTAACGTCCCGCAAACAGACAGCTACTCAAAATGAGAAGAGAGTTTCTCCCTCCCCATGTCCTCCCTTGGATAAAACTGGTCATTCGCTTCATGGCTGTTTATCGGACATTGCTGTGTGCAAACTTGTTTTACGCGTTCGTCCACAAACACAGTCACTACACTTCACAGTAAAATCCCGTGAAGAGCTTTGAGACGTCTCGATTGTGCGATGAGGTGCTACATGAAATGTACGGATTATTATTAATTATTATTACTATTGATTATTATATTGAAACGCTTGACCTCCTTAATCCATGCATAGAGAACAATAAGCGGGGAAAACTCTCCACTTTGAAGCACTTTCTTTATATCCAGAAATATATCGAATGGAAAAAAAAGTGGCATTTTATCGAGTCGAAGCATCTTAAAGCACTTTGCAGTAATTACGGTCAAAGTCCAAGGACATTGTTTAGACAAATGGAAGGTACCACAGAGCCTTGAGCTATTATGTCCCATTCAAGTAGATGGTTGTTGGCCAAGGCATCGGAAGAAAGAAAACTCCCTTCTATTTTCAAATAGCGCCATGGGATCTTTAACTTCCACCTGAACAGGCAGGCGGTTTAATATTTCATCTGAAGGACGGCACCTCTGACAATGCACAGCTCCCAAGGTACCGGATTAGAGTGTCAGCCTAGACTCTGAGCTCGAATCCCGACGTAGGGGCTTGAACCCGTAACCTCCAGATCCAGAGGTGAGAGGGACTCAGGTGGAAGCGCTGATCCTGTGGAAATATCCATCACCCCCCAGCCCCCTAACCCTCACCGGAGGGACTAATAAAAGCCAGACTGACAAACCGCTGTGGGCAAAAAAAGAAACGTTTGTAACCTTCAGAAAAAAAAACTTTTCACCCACAAAATCTACAGTCAATTCACTTCACAGCGTATCCTGTGAAGCGCTTTGAGACTCGAAGACGTGATAAGGCACTGTATCAAACGCAAGGATTAATATTATTATCATCACTAAAACATATTCGGCATTTGATTCTCTTTCGAAATATCCTAACTATTGCTGACAATAAACCTCCTGAAAATTAAAATTCGACACAAAGGCCCTTATGTGTTTTCATAACTCCACAACCCGACCTTCACGAAAACATACGCGTTCGCAAAATGGCAATCAAACACCATTCAACTCCACAGCAGCAGCAACAACAACAGCAACTTGCACTTATATAGTGCCCTTCACCAGGGATAGCATCCGGGAGAGCTTTAACGTGTGGATACGAGTGTAAACGCTAACGTGTGCACACTCGAATTCAAGATGGTCGTTCCCACCTTCAAATCTCTCCACGGTCTCGCCCCATCCTACCTCTGCGACCTCCTTAGATCCTACCAACTGGTCCACTCCCTTCGCTCAGTGAGCTCCATGTTCCTCTTTCACGTCTCCCACTGTCATGTTTCAACTCCCCCCCTCCATCCCTTTCGGCCCCCAACCTCACCCACCCACCCACCCGCTCGGGTACCCAACTACCAGCTGTGAGACATCCTCCCGAAGTGAAAGGCGTTGTATAAATGTGAATTGTATTGCACTGTGAATACCACAATTGGTAAAAGCTTTGAAAAACTAAACCAGTGGCGTTTTTGTAACTAAGTCCAGAAATAATAAAAGTTCCAATTTTTTTTCTACCCCCTTTTCCAAATCCAGACACATGTTCCGTGTTTCCTACTTTTCTCATGGGGGGAATTAACAATTTTTAAAGAGTCTCGTTCTGGGAAGAGGAAGGGGGAGGTGGGGGGGGGGGTGTTAAGGTAAAGAGTAAAGGGTTCAAAAAACATACCAAACTGCTCAAATAATGAGCCTAGAATTCTTTGACGGGAATTGAAATAACAGAAGAACGGACCGAACACGAATACAATCATTTTGTCGTTGCTTTTCGTCCACAAAGTAAAATAATTTTTTTTTTTTCCCCCCTTTCCTCCTCTCCCCTACCCCACCTCTCCCTCTCGCCTTTTCATCTCATCGGTTTCCCGGGTGCACGTTTATTTATAGATCGAGCCAACGAGCCTAGAAAACTATTGTACGAGGCCGGGTGAGAGCAGTCCATTTAATGATTGCTTTAGCCGTCAAAGGGGTCAAAAGGTGGAAGGAGTCATCAACAGGTAATTCTGTGGACAGACAGGCTGAGAGATTAACTGCATGGAGAAGGGGGGGGGGGTGTGAGGTGAGAAGGAGGCAGAGATGGTGAGGGGGAGGGAGGGGGTGGGCGGGGGTGGGGGTTGTGTTTGGGGCAGAAACCTGAACACTATGGATCATTGTAAGTACGCAATGTTTCAATCAATGCAAGAACCAACACCTTATTCAGAAGCGAGACACATTTAATTAGAGGGCCCGTGCCTGCCGACTGCGGGTTAAAGAGTACCAAATCTTTCATTCCTGTCACTTTTACGATTTAAATCCTAGCCAAGTAAAGATTTGTCTCCGCCACTGCCGTTTTGTTTTCTCCCCTTCCTCTCCCTCTCTCTCTGCATCGAAGGGAGAGAGAGAGAGAGAGAAAAACATCGACACACACAAAAAAACGCTGGCTTATTTCAAAAGGATAAATCCTGCTCGTGACGTTCAAACTCGTAAGAGTAATAATCGATGATGATGATGATGATAATAATAATAATCCTGGCATTAGATACAGCGCCTTATCGCGTCTTCGAGACGTCTCAAAGCGCTTCGCAGGATATACCGTTCAGTGAATTGACTGCATATTTTGTGGGCGAAACCGGCAGCCAATTGCGCACAGCAGCGTCCTCCACAAACAGTCGTGGATTGAGTGACCAAAATATTATTTTAAAAAAAAATTGAGGGGATTTTTCCCCCTGAAAAAGTGACCCACCAATCGACTACCATTCCTACTTACTGCTGGTAAACAGGAGTTGTGTGTGTGTGTGTGTGTATGAAGTAAGGAAACTTGCCTAAGGTTTTGCCCGGACCCACCCGGGAATCGAACCCGGATCCTCTCGCTTGCGAGGCGAGTTAGGAGCGCAGTATCTCACCCCGAAAAACGGCAACCGCTCAAGACTTGGCGAGGAATTGGTTTGGGTGAGAGGTTGTGGCCAAGAAGCGGTTAAAAGAAAATCGACTGCTTCGCACATTAAGTATTCCCTCAATCGTTACCCAGTATTGACCATCCTTTCACAATCATTACAACAAACGACGCAGGCAGGCAGAATTTATTTGTTTAAGAGGTGAAACCTTGGGAACGCAGAAAACAAGACAAAAAAAATCTTACCTCTCCCTCCTTCCCACCCTCCCCCCCTCCCACCGCACCCCCACTCCCTTCCCCAAGTTATTCAAGCTCAGTAACTGGGATAGTTAAAAGTAAAACGAGAATCTCGTACAAGGTGGGGCGTTGACAAGAATGATAGGTGATGAGCTCGGAGGTATTGAGCTATTTTATTCGGGTTGTCTGCGTCTGTGTGCGCGTGAGTGTGCGTGTGGGTCTGCGTGAGTGTGTGTGGGTGTGTGTGTCTGCGTGAGTGTGTGTGGGTATGTGTGTGTCTGCGTGAGTGTGTGTGTGTGGGTGTGGGAGGAAAAGAAGAGAGAGGAGCAGAGGGAAGCGTAGAAACATCTAGCAGCGCCACTATTCATTACCTTAGCCCACACAGTGTAAACACTACCCCGCTGTAATGAAAAGTGCTTTAGTTCAGCTTGGCTGGGGCGGGGGTTAATTCAACCACGACATCGCTGGTTCCCACTAGGTCCTAGTTCCATTAAGGTTTGGCGTCCCCGTAGCAATGTGGTTTGAGCGCTCGCCTTGCAAGCGAGAGGATCCGGGTTCGATTCCCGGGCGGAGCAGGGCAAAACCTTAGGCAAGTTTCCTTACTCCACACACACACACACACACACTCCTCTGTTTACCGCAGCAGTAAGTAGGAACCCGGTTGTTAAGTCAATTGGCGGATTACTTTCTAGGGGTAAAAAATCCTTAAAAAAAATTAAAATTGGGTCACTCAATCCACGGCTGTTTGTGGGGAGGAAACGCTGCCGTGCGCAATTGGCTGCCGCGTTTCGCCCACAAAATACACAGTCACTAAACTTTACAGTATATTCTGTGAAGCGCTTTGAGACGCTGAATCAAATGCGAGGATGAATTATTATTATTATTCCTCTGTACATCCAACTGCAGGGCTTCTATATGCAAAAGACCCAGCCTGTGTGGGGGTTTGTGTACGTGTGTGTGTGTGTGTGTGTTTTTGGGTGTTCTTTGCTCAGTATTTTTCCCTCCGGTTCAAACATTTTCGATTGAACTGCGGGCAAGCTCTTGACATTAATCTGTTTTGTTGCTAATTTACAACCGATCTGTCAATATTTATTCAGATTCATTTTCAGAAGCGGGATCTGGGACCACCTCTCCTCAAATCCTGTGCCTCCGGGTGGAGGGGGTGTGGGGAGGGGGGGGGGGAATACTGAACAGCTCAAAGCCAGATGTTGGAATATGGTGCAAAGAGAAAGAATTCCAAAGAGAAGGGAGTTTCTCCCGATGTCCTGGTCAGCGAGCCCACAGATTAAAAATTGGTCAATTACCCTCCCGGCTGTTCGTCGGACGGACGTTGCTGTGTGAAAATTGGCTGCTACGGGAGGAAGCGCTGTATCAAACGTGAGGATCATTAGCGTGGATAACATTGCTCGGATCCAAGAGTACTTGGCTTTTCTTAAGAGGTTGTAACTCCTTAACGCAAGAGATTTTAAAGCATGTCCCTTCTATACTCACTTCATTTGTGCAGCCACTGTGTCTGTTACTTCTATAGTTCCTCAGTTCCACATGAATTTCGGGCTAAATTGGAGAAAGCACCTGATGAGTATATAACGCACAGCAATCAAAGAATAGCCAACAGTAAGTAACCTTGGATTCAAGGCCTTGCATTCTTGACTTAATTCTCGAACGCGGGGCGACAGGGAGACCCAACAAACTTAAAGCGGTTTTATTACAAGTTCTGCATTCCGTAGCGACCGATCTTAAGAAGCCACGTCTCTCAAAAAAAAAGAATCATTTTTCGACCCGCTAAGAGGTTATGTTGGAGGCTGCCAATCAAGCTCAACATTGCAAGAGAGACCGTTGGATTTTAATAGATAGCCCCCTCATCCGGACTGGTGTTTAATGTCAAGCGAGGCGGCTAGCTCTATTAGTTGGGAAGCTTGCCAGCAGTTTGCGCACAGCAAGGTCCAACAAACAGCCGTGAGGTGAATGGCTGATTAATCTGGAGGACAGTCCATTTGCGGCCACGAACGCAGAGAGCGAGAAACTTTCTTCTCTTTTTGAGCACTATCAAGGGATCTTTGAAGTTCCGCCAAGACAAGCCAGACAGGTCGCAAGTCGAATTGGAGAACAGCTCCCAACAGTCCGGTTCCCCAAATTTGCGATTAAGAAATCCTGTTAAGAAATACCGCAATTTAGACCCTCTCCCCCCCCCCCCCCCCCACCCCCCCTTTAAATCCTTGTTGTTTGTGGGCCCCACAAACGTGGCTCCCAGTCACTTTACACATCTCGTTTCCTGTTTCAGGACCTTTTTTTTCAAAAAAAAATAGGAGCCGTCTTGCATTTCCACTCACTCGGGCAAATATTTTTTTTATATATCATTTGGGGAACTTTTCAGTCAGTTCCTCTGCGGTTTTTGCTTGAAATGGTGGTGGTGCACTGACCCGAGAACACAAATACCTGGCCTCCTTTGACTTATTTTGATTTAAGACGTCACAAACTTTTTTCGGGAACGAACGCGAAGATTAAGAAACACAATTGTGCGGAGTCAGGAGGGGCCGACTGTTCGAACCTCAGCCGGTCAAACAAAACACCCATTGTGTCTCTCCCTCTCTTACAATTTGTACCTTTTTTTTAAAAAAAAAAGAACTGGACCTTTGATGTCAACGCAAAATAATCTTCCCTCCCAGAGCGCTTTCAGTCTGTGGCTTGCTCTCTCCCCTCCCATTCCTTACCCTCCCCCTCACCCCCCCCCCACCCCACACTTGCTCCTCACCCCCTCCACTCCGCCTTGCAGAAGATATATTCAGATTACAGTGTACACAGCACAATGATGAAGAAAGGAAGGAAGGAAGGAAGGAAGGAAGGAACTAGTCAGCCTGGCTCAGTCGCTAACGCTCGTTCCTCTGAGTCAGAAGGTTCAAGCCCTACATCTGGACTTGGAACTCACGTGCTGGGGCGCTTGTAAAAGAGGACAAGGCGGAGTCCCCATGGCCTAGTGGTTAGAGCACTCGCCTCGCAAGCGAGAGGACCTGGGTTCGATTCCTGGGTGGGTCAGTGCGAAACCCTGGGCAAGTTTCCTTACTCCCCACACACACACACGCCGCGCGCGCACACCTCTGTTTACCTAGCAATAAGTAGTAACCCGGTTATTCTTATTATTCGATTGATGGATCGCTCTCTGGGGGAAATAATCCATTCAAATAATGATTATTATTATTATTTGGTCACTCAATCCACGGCTGTTTGTGTGGGGACGCTGCTGTGCGCAATTGGCTGCCGCGTTTTGCCCACAAGCAGTCAATTCACTTTACGGCGTATCCTGTGAAGCGCTTTGAGACGTCTGGAAGACGTGATAAGGCGCTGTATCAAATGCGAGGATTATCATCATCATCATCATTAATACCCCTTCCAGCATCACACACATTACACACCTATTCCGAAACCCAGATGACCTGCAAGAAAATGTGCCAAAGACCAACCCCCTGATAAATTGTCCACAAATCCTGGGGATTCTGCACTTATTACCTCTTCCTTATTTAAGCAAATCGCTCCATTCAATCCCGCAATAACTTCAGCATCAACTAATTCCTAATAAGCGCAGTTCATTAGTCCTGTTGCACGATAGGGGTGGGTGAGGATTCAACAGAATCCCCCCCCCACCCCCTCCCGCTCCCAAGCTCTCTGTCTCTGGTTGCTAAGCAACCCGGACTCCTGCAAACACTGGGTACCACTTTGCCGTAGCATCCTTCTGCGATCACCGAACACCCAGACTGACTGCTATAAATCATATTCAGCGCAGAAATCCCCCACGCTGGAGAAAAAAATAACCTATCCTTTTAAAGGAAGCACGTTAGCATAGAAACTTTCTCATGTCATGTCTCTGAAGCAACTTCCCTCTAATGGTGTTTGTGGGTGGGGGTGTGGGGGGGGGGGGGGGGGGCGCGGAGAGAGAGAGAGAGAGAGAGAGAGAGAGAAAATGGGCTCCAGTAGCTTAATGTTATAGCTGTCAACAATTGGTTCGAAGGACTGATCTGAACCAAATTGGGTAATAAGGACTGACAAAATGAAACATAAATCACTGATATAACTCATTTTCAGGGAGGGGGAAAGACGGTTTGTTGTGAAATGGCAGGTTCAAATGAGAGCTCATCCTCTCCCTCTCTCTCTCTCTCTAGCCACCCCCTCCCTCCTTCCTTCCTCCCTCGCACTGTGCTCAAATTTAAAACGGTTTATGAGTTGATTTGATTCGACCCCCCACCCCCCCCACCCCAAAAAAAAATCCCAGGGCAGGGTGGAACAACTAAACAAATGTGCATCTCACGGTCACTGTTAATTTCACGCGCGCGCACACACACACACGCACGCGCGCGCTGTGTTAAAGACTGCATTGATGCTGTTGCAGTAATCAGCACGGACACAAAATTGAAAACAAATACTTTATACAGAAACTGCATTTCATTTACGACTCGCGCACAGACTCTAATTACTGTTCTGTGAGTGCTTCTCTCTCTCTCTCTCTCTCTCCGCCTCCCCTCCCCTGTATAGAAATATATTAAGTAAAGCCTAACAGCTGTAATTCAGTGAGGCCATTATTTATAACGTGAAATGACGAGCAATTTCCGCCAACCTCCAGGTTCCTTAAAAAACACACACACACACTCCAGCGAAGAGGAAACACATTTCTCTAGGGGACTGGGGCTTGTTCAATGTCAGAGCCCAAGTCAGGGCAAGGACGCTTTGCGAGTGTTTTCTTTTTGGAAAAAAAAAGTTCTCGAGAAACAATCATTAGGTTATGGATGCAGCTGCACTACCATTTGCTCCCCAAAGGATAATCTAATGGACAATTTCAGACCAGATTCCGAACTGAAAAATTAAACGCCAAATTATCTGTCTTTGCTTGAGAATTCTTGGGAGAGGGGTGGGTGGGACGGGTGGGTGTGGATTGCTCAACAAATGTTTTGTCTTAAAAGGAGGGTGGGAGGGGGGAGAGTAAGAGAGAGAGAGAGAGGGGGGGGAGAGGAGAGGGTGAAAGAGAGATGAAAGGAAAGAGATTAATAGAGAGTGGGGCGGCGAGAGTGAAAGGGGAGAAACAGAGGGATGAAGGGAAAAGGAAGACCGAGGAGGAAGATAGAAAGAGAGGAGAAAGCAGGCAAAGTGGGGTGTTATGAAGGGAAAAACACAGGGGGAGAAAGAGAAAGCGGGTGCACGTGGGGGAGAGAAGTGATGTAGGCGAGAGAGAGATGGAGATGGAGAGAGAAAGGAGGGGGTAAGAGAGGGAGAAGTGGGGTGGGTGGGAGAGAACCAGACATGACTTTAACCAGATTGCAACGTCTTGGTTGCACATTTTAAAAAAAATAATCTGTTACTGGAGCTTTAAAAACAAAGTGGCGGCTGTTATTTGGAGAGCGAGAAAGAGAGAGCGAAGGAGCGTGAGAGAGAGAGAGCCCAAGCGAGAGAGAGCGAGAGAGGGGGAGCGCGCGAGAGAAAGAGTGCGAGAGAGGCTGATATTTGGCATCGGGTGTTTTATTGAACATCAATTATGTAAAAAGCAAATATTGGCACCAAGCCTCTCCTGCTTTAGAACCTGATCTGTTTATTAATTCATATTTCTGTGTTTCACTATGTCCAGCAGCGATCGAGTTGGTGGGGAAATGAAAAAAAANTCCTTTCAACGTCACATGAATAAGCAAAGCAGAACAGATCTGTGGATGTGTCTGTGGGTGTCCCTCTCGCTGACTCTTAATCGTAAAGTAAATTTCCCCCTCAATCCCTCCGCCTCACCCACTCCTTCCCTCTTTTAGATCACGATTGAAGACCTTCCTCTACAACCTACTCCCTCCTCCCCGCTCGGCCACTGTTCAGCGCTCCGAGACCCTACCACACGCGTGAAGGGCGCTGTGCAAGCGCAACTTGTTGTTGTAGTTGTAGTTGCTACCCCTGGCCCCCCCATCCCTCCTGATCCCAACCCCACCCCCAGCTCGGGTCCAAACCCCTGACTCTCCAACGCCTTGAGGACATCCTCCTGACGAGAGAGGCGCCGTGTAAATATGTTCGCCCACAAATATAGTCAATTCACTTTACAGTGTGTTCTGTGAAAGCGCTTTGGGACGTCCTCCTGACGTGAAAAGCGCTATATCAAATGCAAGGATTATTATTATTATTATTGTTGTTGTTGTTGAGTAGAGTAAATCACACGCAACACACGCAGACGCAGACACACAAGGAGGAGAAATTTTCAAAGGCTGCTTAACACAACAGTCAGTAACAAAGGTCTTTTTCAGTGAGTGAACAGGTCTGGACTGACTTATCTTAGTGTGTGAGAGAGAGAGAGACAGAGACGGAGAGGGGGAGGGAGAGGGAACGAGTGGGTGGGAGGGGGAAGTTTACTGCCGATCTAGCGATAAGGAATGCGCCACACAGTTGACCAGCCGCCCCTCACAGACGGCGGCGCCCTGGAAAGCGCTGACCACTGGTTTCCTGTGTGGAGGAGCTGCTCGCTCACAGCTGCACACAGAGTCTCGCCTCTCATCTCCCTGCAGCACCGACAACCACAGTCACAGTCACTTAAAAGGGGC